CAGTATAGTTTCCAGTTTTTTCAGAAAATATGCATGCCTGCAACGATTAATTAAGAAGTCGATTATTAAAATACTGATTTAGGCCTAGCAGATGGAAATTAAAATCTGCAAAATTGTTATTATCTGAATATGTACTGAAATTATAATTTTCGGTGATCGGTTTGTCCCCCCTGCGAGAGTAAATGACGTAGCGTGAAATAACTAGAATATGGATTGGGAACAACTGGCACTAGTGAGAGGTTTGGCACCGACAGAGTTATCGGCTGGAGTCAGTGATTACACGTTTTGTCTGTATGAATATCTGGAGTCATTTGAAAATTCAGTTGTTTGCGAAGTCACAATTCTGTTGCTTAAAAATCGTCTTTCCTTTGTTTTATGTTGCACTATGTTATACTATCCGGATAGACCTACCGAGAAATATTACACACAACAGGGAAAGTGTGAGGAAACATGGCGTTGTTATTCTATAGATGATTACTTTCAGCCGTGGAATAAATAAAATCACGTTTAAGAAGCCTTCACCAAAGAATTGGGTGCAGTTCATGTCGTTTTTAGAGCCACATGCAAGTGAAGAGCTGAAGGATTGGCCGCCCGTAACAAACACGTAGCGCCTTGTTAACCTCATTAGGCAGTAGCGGGATAACGGAAATGATTGACGTGCTTCTCACTCGCAAGTAAATTTTCATCTAAATCTGGCACCTCGCAGCTTTAAGACTCGGTGTTCCTGGGCTACAGCAAAATTGAATACCCGTATATAAAAATATCGCATCAATTAAATTTAATTACGAGTCAACCTGAATACTTAACTCTAACCACTGCCCCTGTTTCCTTCATCGTTAGCCTGTAGGAGCAGTTTCTACTGTTTCGAACCAAATTTCGATGTTAAATGAGAAAGAATCCGGCTGAAAATTAATGTCTAAACCTACCCACCTAGCCCATTCCAGAAATTTCAATATATCTCAGAATGTAAGCTACTCATGTCGTAACTTAAATTCAGATATAATCAAAACTACCACATTTATTTTAAAGGGATTCAAAATTGTTAAAATGTAATTCATAAGCATATGTAGCCTGTAATCTGTAGGAACTATCTAATATAGTATTACCTAGTGTCTCTGACACTGGCTTGTGCCTGTGTAAATTTTAAACTTAATTAATTCATAAGGTTTATGTTAATTATGTTTAATGTAATTAAACAACTTAAAGAAATTGCAGTCGATATACATGACACACTACCCTTGTTGCAACCTGCTGCAATATACCGACCTGTCTCTCATACCAGTAATTCGAATCACTGGACTAATCTGCAGGTAAATTTAGGCTGTTTGCTTTTAAACCTTCCTTTCTCGTTCAAATTATTATTTTTTTTTTTACAGATATGATTACAGAAGTTTGTTCAAACAAGTGTAAAATTCGAAGAATGTAGTCTTTTAGGATGTGGCGCCGTGTATACCATGTGTGAACCGACACCTCAGAAGAACGTATCGCCTCCATCTTCAGGGTAGAAACGTCGGTTCACACAAGACCTACACGACACCACATCCTAGCAGACGGCATTCTTCATAGTCACCGCAGTAAAACCGCAAATCTTGCAAGTGTAAAATCCGGTAACATAGAAACCATAAACTTTGTAAACAGTGAAAGAGTTTAGATATGTATGTGCCTTCCTTCTTTTTAAGTTCAAGAAAAAAACAGGCATTTCTGCTTGGTTTGCGCATCCATGTTCGGTAAAAGCGACGGTGCGGATGAAAATTCTCAAAAGTGTGTTGGAAGCTGCCAGTTATAATTCTCATAAAAGCGACAAGGACACAAATGAACAGACAGAATAGCCACTAAATTTAGTGATCTATTTCTGGACATGAATAACGGTTCTGTTCATGAGAACAGAATTCAGGAATTTATGATCCCTCTGCCCGAAATGACTGGCCTTATTGAAAGAGCTGGAAGTCATACCAATCTTACAGCTGAAGAACAAAGAATAATTCATTTACAAATCGCAAAAATAAAACATGGCTTATATTAATTGAACGTTAGATATTTGGGTCATTCCCGGATAGAATTTTAGAAGGACAGCTGGTGTATGTTTGCATTTGTACTTATTGTACGCACAGGCCTACAGGCTGATAAATCCCGTACCAACATAGGATTCGAACGTGGTATAATACTGCGAGTGGATTAATTTAATTAAAATTTATCTACAGTCTGCTAGAAAAATTCTGACATATAAATTGGAAAGTTTTATTTAAAATGCGTGATCAAGTAGGCCCCGACCTTAAAATAACAAAGACTTCTTCTTCAGTTAAATGAAAAATTTTCGTTACGGAATCAAAGTTTTTGATTCTGAACACCCAGTGACTAGACATTATCACGAGGCTTTTCAAACTTGCCTCCAGAATTTATTTCTCTATAATCATTTTATTATCGTTTCGTTACTATCTTCTTCTTCAAGCAATAAAATTCTGTAGGCATTTCCTCTTTCTCCATGCCCCACTCATCTTACCCCTTTTCCAACATTGACCCTTGCAGAAGATCGAAGTTATTTAATTATTTGCTCCAAAAATTACGTTTACCCTACAGGCCTACATGAACCGCCAGCGCCTTCCTTCAGGTACTTTCCAACCGATGGGGAGGGCACAGTAATTTATCGTGCACGTCAGATAGCCGGAGGTTACATCTGCATTTGACAAATTGGTGTGCCACTAAGGGTACTGCCGTCCATATGGTTCGGGCGGGGTTTGTCGCGGCTGCTTCATTAATGAAGCGCGTGAACCTAAATTTCGTGTTTCTTTCAGGGAACATTGACCAGGAGCGAAAACCAAGCCGGTAGGCGGTCCCATTTGAGTGACATCGAGCAAACGAAACAAGAGTTCTCTTTACAAATGGAATACCAAATCACATTGATCAGAAATAGCCGGGTCTACAAAATTTACAGGAAAGTCACAAAGCCATTTGCTAACAGTTCGCATCGTGCGCCAGCAAAATTCCTTAGCTTTCAGCTCTAGAGTTGTTTATCTTTATATTAATTAATTTCTTTCCGCAATTTCTCTAGTAATATATCCTAATAATTGAACAATGATGAAACGAGTTTTCTTCTAACTATGCAGAACTCATTTAAAATTATATTCATTTGTTACAAGCCCAGTACCAGTAATTATTTCAAATTATTTGTTTTCCCCGTTTTACTCTTAAATGCGTGCCTATATTAGGTTTTTTAAGATTTAAATTAGACCTGAACCCTCAAATAATAATCCCATTTTCTTCACAGTATGCTTATATAACACATATTGCTAGGTTAGCCGTCGCCACAATAAAGTAAATTAATCAATAAGTATTCAACTGAAAAATGCTTTGTTGTGACGACGGTTAACCTAGCCGTATACGTAATAATCCCATTATTGACTTCTTACCAATACCTGCAAGTGGTAGATTATGTGACAGAACGCTGGACGACAAAGAATATTGCGAGGCTAACTCCCAGACACAATACATGAGCTGGAGTACTTACGGGGGTACCAACAATTGGCTTCACTAATACAGTCCTATGACCCGTAGGCCCTGTCACTACGAGCATCATGCCGAAACTAGAGAATTCTGAGTGACATTAAGGTGACTCGCTTGTAAATACGTGGGATATTGATATAAAAGTTACATCAGGAAGCAATAAAATCATTCCTTACATTCTCGAGAGAACTCAGGCCTGTATAGTGACACGATATGGGGTCTATGTATGTCGACAAGTAGAGTAAGTACACTTGCGTCAGGCCTACTGATTCTCATGTTCATGCAGATCTACAAATATGATTTGTGTTAAACGACTAATCGAATCGTATCTAATCCTGTTTAACTATTCTGCTCTGAAGATGAAGACAGAAACTTCCTCGAATTGTTGGTACCTATCTACCGAAATTACACAGCGTCACAGCCAAATCAGTGAGAACCTCAAATTCATCTCATTTCGTGATAAACACGAGACGTGAAGAAATAAAATTATCTGTCAAATGCGACTTTTAGACTTGGTTTATCGCTTGCTATGGCCCAGACGCTGCGTCCTGACCAAAAGGTAGGCTATAGGATTATAACCATTCGTGGCAATGTATTTCTCCCTGCTTATAGAGCATAGATATATTTTGTAGCTATGACATTTTAAACGGAAAAATGTCATTCGTATTATCGACGCAAGTTATGAAAACTTGTACAGACAACGGAACTCTTTGGGGAAATTAGAACAATTTTTTTGCAGGCACCACTTCTATAGGTTAGCGTGTTCTAACAGTCCTATAAAGGACAGAATGTTATTCAGAATGCAGTATGCCTACCCAGTATCATGCTTAACTCCAGACGGAAATGAGGGTCATGTGCAGTAGTGGCCTGCAGTTGCTGTGAGGAAGTCTGGGGGAGCGGCACCGTGATACAGACCTAGCGCTCCGTTCAGGCAACGTTATCCGAAGGCGTACAGAACACAGCACTAAGCGCGCCGGAGTTTGCCTACAATAATACACATCAGATCTGCATTCGGGCCTACGCACAATATTCTGACATTTAGCAACACCCTTGTCCTGTAACCACCCAAAAACCGGGTCACAAAGTACCTGACTAGATAATAGGCTATCTGACTAGGCCTATCACAGACTTGAGACAACGGTGATAGTTAAGAGGAATACAATTTGCAAAGGCAAACACTATCCCTTCTCCCACCCCCAAACTCACATGAAGTTACCTGGGAATGAGCAAAAGGCTCCGCGTTCAGAAGCCAGCGCCTAACCTCCTAAACTACATCACGGCCTATAGCTTTATTATGATAAACCGTAAAGATAAAGATATTTTTGTGTGTATCTCCACACACACACACACACACAGGATACCGGTCAACCAAGCATCCTTCGTAAAACGAACATCTGTCTACACGACGGCCTTGTTGAGTCCATGTGAATATGCTGTGCTACGAAATTTATGTGGTTTTAGGTTCGACTCCCGTGAGAACAAAACTGCGTGCTACTCACTTTGCAGCTGCTCAGTCATGTCATCCGCCTTGGCGGGCGATATCTTGATGCTCCGGGAGGGTCCAATGTTGACCACGAGGGAAGGCACCACGCGGTGGTGATGGTGGTCCGTCGCCAGGGTTGTGGCGGGGCTCGGACTGCTGGCCAGGCGACAACCACCGCCGCCCCCGCCTCCACCCCCGCACGGCTCCGGCCGTCCCCAACACCAGCCGCCCCCCGATCGCTCCACCACGGCGATGGCCGACGACAACGTCTACCACCGTGCAGCAAAACAGAGAGGACACAACGAGTCCTCCAACAGCCACGTGCCAGCACCGCACCGTCACAGCACAGTCACCCTTCGGTTCGATGTCAAGCAACGTCACAACAACACACGGATCCGATCACTACTGCGCCTCAATACCTTACCGGCATCTGGACTGTTGGGAATCCTGTACGCATGCGCACTGGTACTGCTCCCGTCCGCCGTGCACCGCCTCTTAGATACTGCTATTGGCTACTTGCCGACCCCTCCCTTGCAGTTATCAACGCAAGCGACTACCAGCAGCTGGAGATGAAAAGAAAATGGCTGCTCTGTAGGTGCCTCTATCATCGATCCGAGGTCTTCCTCTCGTGCAACGCATCGACCGCCCAGTACCATGCACAGGAGCCATCCAATCAGAACGTAGTACGCCGTGATTGTTCGTAACAGAGTTCAAACTAGTGTTTCATGTTTAATTTCGGATCTATACCCACTGCGAAACAACAGGAGTGACATAATTGCACGGACTATTTTCTGCAACTGAAAATAGTTCCTGTGTTATATCACGACTCTTATAAAACGCATCAGTTTATCTGTTTCGTGCTACGCTCTGGAAAGCTTGGGGCGCCGGTGTTTTGCGGGGTGTCCACAGAGCAGACGCCGCGGTCTACGCATGGGCCGAACGACAAAATGTTGGTAGAGGCAGGAACAGGACGGTGGAACTGCAATGTCGTTATGACTGGACTAGGCTTACGATTATCATACACACACTGTTAACAGATTAATATATTGTCAACAATAATGAACAGACAGTTCAATACGCTTAACCCTTTCCAATCAAAATGTTTCTCTTTTTTTTTCGTTTAAGAACAAAGTAAATCAGCCTAGGTTTGGGTCTGTAACTCACCTAACGATTCCCAATATTACCACAGTTGAAAAACCACTAACATCGATATTAAATTTCGGATTCCGTAAAATGACACTGCTAAATGCTGATCACAGTGGCCGCGCGGTCGTAGGCATGAACCGTCTTCGCCCGCTCGAAAGCTGGGATCGCGGGTTCGAATCCCAATTGAGACATGGATGTATGCGTGTGTTTGTTCTGTGTTTGTGTTGTTCTGTGTGTAGGTAGCGGCATTTTGACGGGCTGATCCACAGTCCAAGGAGTCCCATCGACTGTGTATAAGATTAGGCCAAGGTCCACAAAGGCTGTAGAGCCATAGATGGACTGACCCTGCTGAAAAAGAGACATACAATGGAATTCAAGGGCTAAGCCTACTTCGTGCTTAATATTTATGAATTTAATCTGATGGGACCTACATCATTTGATTTGTAGACCTGTCTAAATTTTTTCTCCTCATATTCTGCTTGGTCTAATTTGTGAGAATTTAGCAAAATTGGATAATTTGAAATCTCAACCTCGCTTACACAACAGACGTAACTCAGCCTGTGCGTTACAGACGTAAACAGATAATTTTCCGGCAACTAAAACTTCAAGAGGACGGAGCAGGGCCTGGAAACGGCTAGTTCCAACTCTCCTAACAATTATGAAGAAGGCGAATTTTAAATTTGAGTCGTTTGGTTCTGTGAACCTAATGCAATATATACATTTCGATCAATATTGTATCGTGAGAGAATGAACCGAAATTTATGCTTACATGGAAGTCTTTGGGAAACTCGACTGGCCTGTTAGGTTCTAGATATGAACAGTCTGAAATGTAGGTTAACTTATTTTTCTCAGAAAGTAAAACAGATATTTCATCTCCATTGCAAATAAAATAATTTCTTGGAATAGAAAATTGCACGTTATCAACTTCAGATACAAAACGCAGACGTGTAGTTCCTTTATTTGATAGGAAGTCGAGAGCTCCAATTTAACCCATAACATTGCAACTTTGTCAGCTGAAGAAATCAATAAACAATTTGCCCTTTCCAAGCCCTGCGTGCTGCCTGCTAATATTCGCCACCAATCTCAGACGAGTAACGTTTTTATAACGAAAGCTACTTCCATAAACAAATAAAAGGAATTGAAATATTGTCTCGGCTTGTGGTCAGCTTCTCGGAGGCAAGAAGCATACGTGGCTATGATTGGGTCTGACACTGGTTAGGCTTTGTTAAGGAGTCTAATAAATTACACACTCGCTGATTGACAAGTCTTAACTGGTACTTCCTTACATTGCTTAAGGGCAACGCACACCAGCTGCGTCAAGACAAGCATCAAGACATGAGACAAAAGACCCAGTCTTGCTTCATTCGTAATCCGTCAGCATGAAGCTGACGTCAGCATCATGACTCAGACCGGTGTGCGGCGGTTTTCATAATCTCCTTGGTTTCAACTGTGCTCCTTTCTTTGCGCCATGTTGCAGACATCGTGTCTTGACTGTTACATGTCTTGACGCATGCCGGTGTGCGACCTACCTTACACTAAGCTTATAACCGCCGATCACAGTGGCCATAATGTCTGAAGCATGAACCGTCTTCTCCTATTTTAACATTGGGATAGTGGGTTCGAATCCCACTCGAGACATGGATGTCTCTATGCCTTTATTCTGTTTTTGTGTTGTTCTGTGTGTAGGTAGTGGCCTTGCGACCGACTGATACCCCGTCTAAGGAGCCATACTGACTGTATAGGTCTAAGAAACTGAAAAAGCGGCCAAGGTCCACAACGGTTGTAGAACCATAGATAGACATTTGTAAACATTGATAAATTTAATGAGTTTAGGGAACCAACTTCCACATGAAATGCCAGGAACTTAATAATTTTAGACAAAATCTTGGCTACTCATAATAGAGACTACCTTGTTTGGTGATGAAGGGAAAGAGGCTTCAGCAACATAATCTGTACGCAGGGCCAAAAACACGTGGGAAGCTTAGTTCTCGTTAACCGACTTTTCAAATCACAGGTTTAACCCGAAATAAAATTTTACTTTCATTTCTTTAAGATGGTCTAATTAATGCTAGGCTTAAATCACTTTGTGCACACATATAGGCCTGCACTGTAACAGCACTCCTTCAGCCCTTTGACCATCTAAAAATTGCTATTGCATAGAGGCGTATACAGTATTGTTGTGGCCTATTTGAATGCTACAAATCCGTATTTTGTGAAGTAACTGGTCAGCAGGCATACAGTAATTTAGTAATTATTTTCCGTAAATTTGCCTCACAGTTACGCGCGCTTTGGTTTCCAGCTGAAGTAGGGCAGGAGAAAGAATGGAAACATTCTCTTCACCCCCGTCCCTCCCGTAATGCGGGTACATTTCCGCAAATTTCCACTTGATTACAACCTGATTTGTTAGGAACTTTTACCGACAAATCAGATAAATTCATGTCATTGGGCATAAAGTAAATCAGGGTTTGATAAAATATTTACTGTAAAAAATGTATTAGTTTAGAGGCCTTACCACGGGTGCGTCCCCCGTCCAAGTGATCCTATTGGATTCATACTTCCAAATATTATTTCTAAATTGGGACAGATGACAGGGCCTAATCCATGTAGCTCAAGAACAGAAGCTTCGAACCTGACACGAAGAAGAATATGAAAACGTGCAGCCTATGCCAGAAATGTTAAGCAAAATATGTAAGCCTAACATACCGTAGGCCTGGTTACGTAGCCTACATCACGTTTAGAATAAAATTTTATGTTAACCTCAAATTATAAGCGTCCAACAAAATATAGACCTAGCCATAAGGACTGCAACAAACTAACTCTGGACGTTTCGACCCTTCCGTTCCGTTCCTCTCATCCCTCCAGCTAAGTGTGGGCACCCAATGGACCCTGTTCCTTTAGCGTTTTGGGAATGCCTTCAGGTTCCGTTCTTTCAGCACGATGAATCAAATCTATCCATTATTGTGAATTCTACTGTTTAAATGAAATATACAGGGGTCGGACAATATCACGGAACTTCTGCAGACACTGTACACGTTTCGGTATTAACACAGTGTTGCCAACCACACAGCCGCAGTTCTTCCTGGAATTGGCTCGTACAGCTTTGGAACGGTCTCTAGCGGAATTTTATACCAATCTTCTCGAAGAACATCTTCAAGTTGCTTTAGAAATGTTGGAGGATGGAATCTGTTCCTCACTGTAGTCTCCAAAAACTGAGCAGAGTGGTTCAGTGAAGTTCAAATCTGGTGATTTTGCTGGCCAGGGAAGATGATGAAGTTCACCTTCCTGCTCTTCAAACCACACACACACACACACACACACACATACACACACACACACACACATATATATATATATATGAATTAGGTTAACCGTTACACAACAAATATACTCGCTTCTAATATTTTACAATTCGACTTTCTATTACTCCTATATATTTCGGTCGTATAAGACCGCATACAGTATATGCTAACATAAAATTTGCCTCAAGTTGGTAAGTATTGCAATTAAAATAGAATGTAAAACGTAAGATTTCAGGAAGTCCTTCACAGTATGGCTGTCAGCACAATGCAACACGGCAAGGAGTCGTATGCCCTGTGAACCTAACCTGACTTTTGCCATAGGCGGGCTTGCTGCTGATGTAAACATTGATATTTTTTCAAAAAAAAAAAAAAAACAACAAATGAACATGACCCTGAATCTACAGTGTTGCCAGTTGCACAGATTCAATGTTTTGAACATAAATTGTAAGAAGAATCTAAATTCATGTATGTTAGAAATACAGTGGTTGAAACCCCGAAATATAATTACATTAATATCATGGAGCAATGTCATTCTGGAGAAGATAATAGTCGCTCAGCTGATCAAGAAATTCCTGACCTATTATGGAAGCCGAGGATTGATTAACATATTCACAACCGCCCACTAGTTCCAGGTCGTGTGTGACATTTCGTAAGAGTTTAGTGTTATACAGTAATGGGATTGCTGGGCCGTCACCAGACGCAGGACTATCCCCTGTGCATAGTCTGACTGTGGTGACTGCCTATTAGACATTCTCACAAACCTTCCATACCTGGAAGCTGAAATGCATTAGTATTCAATAAAATATAATTTTGATTTATAAAAAATGTGCAACAAAACTATATTGCCAGCACACATTCTGAAACTCAATCTAAGTGGGAAGATTGTTTTTCTTGTTTTGGTACCATAAGAAGTATTGCTTCTCTCCAGCGATGATCTCAATCGAGATGC